GCGCGCCCGGGATCCGAACCCGGGCCGCCAGTAGCGGAGCGCGCACACTTAACCGCTAAGCCATGGGGCCGGCTCCCATTTTAACCATTTTTAAGAGTATAATTCTGTGACATTAAGTACATTCACAGTGTTTTGCAGCCATCACCACTGTTTCCAAAATTTTTCATCACCCCAAATAGAAAATTTGTACCCATTAAACAATAACTTTCCTCCCTCCATCCCCTGGTAACCTCTAATTTACTTTCTTTCACAGTGAATTTGCCTCTTCTAGATGTTTCATAGAAGTGGAATCATACATTATTTATCCTCCTGTGTCGGGCTTTTTTCACTTAGCATAATGTTTCCAAGGGTATCTTCCATGTTGTAGCCCGTATCAGAACTTCATTCCTTTTTATGCCTGAATAATATTCCATTGTATGTATGTGTCACATTTTGTTTATCCATTTGTCTGTTGATGGACACTTGACTTGTTTCTCCCTTTCGGCTATCGTGAATAATAATGAACACTGGTGTTCAAGTATCTGAGTCCTTCGTATGCATTTCTGTTCATTCATAATGTTATTGTGCTGATCTGTGTTCTGGGTTCTGGAAGTGATGGAGGGAAGAGGTGTAGTGATGTTCCCTTCCTCGTTCCTGGACTGAAGTCTAGCCGGGAGCAGAACTGGCCTTTCTTTACCTCTCTTCTGCACACGTGTCTTCTGTTGCCTTTGGATTCTGGCTTGTTCCCCTGTCCCTTTCTTATGCCTTTCCACCCTCAAGCTACCTGCACCTATCTACCCCACCCAGAAAAAGTGAGTTGAATTCCAGTGATTGGGAGTCTACCCAGACCGTAATACATGATCTAAGGAGAGAATTTTAGTGCAATTGCATTCCTGGGGCTTTCAATAGTATATTTTCTTATTAAATCTTTTATTTTTACCTTAAACTGTTATATAAATATCATTTAGTTTTGCTGATTGTCTTGTCATTTGATTGTAAGCTTCTTTGCTTTATGCTTCCTCCAATTCTATACATATATTTACTTTATTTTTAAGCTATCTACATTTAAAATTTTAACTTTATTTTTAGAATACATGTATTTTTCAAAATTATTTCTAATGTTAAAAATTCAAATAGTACGACTATAAGATAAAAGTAAAAGTTTTTCTTTCTTTTTCTCTCCCTATTCTGACTCTGCAGAGGTAACCATTGTTTTTGTGTACTTTTTCAGAAGTATTCTTTACATAGATATGTATGTTTTCTTTTACCCAAACGAGATTTGCTCTGCAATTGCTTTTTTTACTTCACAGATCTTAGACATCTGTTTAACAGTAGGTGCATGGTATACCATTGTTAACTATTCATTCTCCTACTAATAGATTTATTAGATTATTTGGAATTTTTTCACAATTACAAGCAATCTTTATTGATCCTTATACAACATCTTTGGCTATGCGCATATGTATTTCTTTAGGACTATATCTGAGTCAAAGGGTGATCACATTTAAACTTTTGATATTATTGATACTAATGGTTCTCCAAAAAGGCTATACCACTTTACATTCTCATAGTGGTTTAGAGGACCAATTTGCTCACCTTGAGGAAAGAGCGCATTATCAAATTTAAAAATCTTTGCTCAGATGGTATTTATTTTATTTTATTTTATTTTTATTTTTATTAATTTATTTTTTGTGAGGAAGATCAGCCCTGAGCTAACATCCAGTGCCGACCCTCCTCTTTTTTGTGGAGGAAGATTGGCCCTGAGCTAACATCCATGCCCATCTTCCTCTACTTTATATGGGATGCCGCCACAGCATGGCATGACAAACGGTGCATCGGTGTGTGCCCAGGATCCGAACCCACGAACCCTGGGCTGCCGAAGCAGAGTGCGTGCACCCAACTGCTTGCGCCACCGGGCCAGCCCCAGATGGTATTTTAAATAGTGAATAATCATAAATAGTGATCAGATCATTGTGAATGTAATTTTCATCAATTACAATGATGTGATTTTTTAATAGTATTTTAGTGTTAATAATTGAGAGAATGCTGGATAAATCAACTTTTACTGAATCTTAAAATAATTAATAACCTTTTTTTTACCCACTTCCCCTGCCATCTACTATCCCACTTCTCTTTGCAGCAGAACCCTGAAGGTGTCATTTGTGACTCGCTGTGTCATTTCTTCTCCCAGTCTTTCTTAAACCCACTCCGTTCAGACTTTCACCTTCACTACCATTGAAACTGCGTTTGTCAAGATGTCTTAAATGACCTTCCCTTTACTAAATTCCGTGGTCACTTCTCATTTCTCATTGTTCTAGCCTTTCAGCAAATTAGATACACGTTCTCCGCTTGGTTTCCAGGCCACCATGTTCTCGGTTTTCTTCCTACTTAACTGGCTGCTCCTCAGACTCTCTTGCTGGTTCCTTATAAGTGAACTAATAAATGATGAAGTGCCCAGGCCTCAGTCTTTGGTGCTCTTCTCTTCTGACTCTCTTTTTTTCCCCTTGATCTTGTCCAGCCTTGTGGTATTAAATACCATCTATGTATAGCTAACTTTCAATTTTTTATCTCCAGTCCAGACTACTGTCTTGAACTCTGGACTCATATATCCAACTGCCTATTCAACCTTCGCAGTTGGATGCCTAATAGACATCTCAAACTTAATAGGTCAAAAAATGAACTTCTGCCATTTTCCCCTTAAACCAACTCAACAATCACTCTTCCCCATATCAGTTGATGGCAGCTTCAGTGGCTCAAGACAAAACCATGGAGTCATCCTTGACTCATTGCTTTCTCACACATTCCACATCCCATCTGTCAGAGAATCTTAATGGCTCTCCCTTCAACATAAATCCAGAATCTGGTCACTTCTCACTCTTCTCTGTTATCAGCCTTGTATGAACCATCATCACCTACCCCCAACCCCCTCGACTCCTGGATTACTGCGCTGGTCTCCTAAGTGGTCTTCCCACTTCTGCCCCTGCCCTTCTATGACACATGTTAAACACAGCAGCCAGAGTGATCTCTTTTAAATCCCAAGTTACTGCTCTGTTCCAGTGGCTCTCATCTCACTCAGAATAAAACCCAAAGTCTACCGTGGTCTACAAGGACCTACATGCTCTGGCCTCTGTCACCTCTCTGACCCATTACTCTCCCCTTGCTCCTTCTGCTCCAGCCATGCTGGCCTCCTCGTTTATGGATCACACCAGTTTAGCGCCTTTGTACTGGCTATTTCCTCTGCCTGGCGGGAAATTCTTCCCTGAAATACCCCCATGGCTCCTCCACCACCTCTTTCAAGTCTTTGCTCAAATGTCAGCTTCTCAGTGATGCCCACCATGACTTTCCTACTTAAAGTTGCAAGCACCTCCCACCTAAATAGACTCACACTTCCAGTTTCCCCACTCTGCCCTATTTTTTTCTCCACACGTACTTATCACTTTTAAAATACCATATAATTCACTGATCAGTTATTCTACTTTGCTATTGTCTGTCTGTCCTCAGTACAGTCCCGTAAGGGCAGAGATTTTTTCCCCCTGTTTTGTTCACTACTGGTTCCCAGGGTCTTAGAATACTGCCTGGCACGTAACAGGTACTAAATAAATATTTGTTGAATGAATGCATGAATGAATTTTGAATAAGGGCATGCATGTGCAAACTTTTACCTATGAATTTTATAGTTAAGGGTTTTTAAAAATTTTATAATCTAAAGAAATATAAGAAAATAAATTTATTGATTGTAAATTTTGGGTTGTAGCTTTTCTTGTATTTTAAGTTTCAGATGTGCTTTCTTTTTCTAAATTTTCAGCTTCAGTTGTGGAGGGTCAAAAGGGTATCATTCCTCGAGCTATCCAAGAAATATTTCAAAATATCTCTGAAAATCCTAGCATTGACTTTAATATAAAAGTGTCTTATATAGAAGTATACAAGGAAGACCTAAGAGATCTTCTAGAACTGGAGACATCTGTAAAGGATCTTCACATCCGAGAAGATGAAAAAGGAAACACAGGTAAAGTAGCCTACTTAATCGATAGCTTTCATTAGCAAATAGGTATGATTTAATTCAGTTTCTGGGTATAATCCAAAAATCTTTAAAAACAGACATAGAAGCAAAATGAATTTGTTTTTACTTTAAAATTGAATAGCTTATTGATTACCAGTATCAGTTAAATCACCCAGGTGAAAAGTAGAAGTTCAGACTGGTTGGTAAGATGAAGTTATTAAGTTGTAATTCAAAATACTTATTTCCTGTAGTTGTGCCCCTCCCCCCCCCCCCAGCTGAACTTAAGCGAGACTGTGAAATAGGCTAAATTAGTTTTTATATATTTTTTTCTCCCAGAGGTACCCCAAGATTGGGGATGGCTTCTCCCTTTGCTGTTCATTCAGGTTGATCCAGAACTCTCCTTTCTTCCTCTTTGATTTTTGTCCTAGCACACCTATTGCTTCTTTTTTTTTTTAAATTTAGAGAGTTTATGTGTTTGCTTCCCCATATTGACATTTACCTGTCTTTTGTTGTGCTTCTCAAGGTCTGACTTTCTGTGCTGCTAACCTGTTAATCTCATTAAATATCCATTTATTTGGAAATGGGAAAAGGTTAGAATGGTAGGGTCAAAATGCAAGTATTTTAAGAAATGATACTTTCTGCTTTTCTGATTTAAAAGGTAATATGTCCAACTTAGAACATTTTGAAAAAATAGAAAAGTATAAGGAAGAAAGTTAAAGATCATCTTTAATCCCAGAACCCAGAAATAGCAACTTTTCTTTTTGGTGTGTTTCCTTCGAGACTTCTTTTTCTGTGCACATATAATTTTTTTTAGTATACTTGCAGCTCCACATATAGTATTGTATCTTATTTTTTCACTTAACATTTATATTGTGAGCATTTTCATACGTCATTATTTTTCAAGCTTATCCATGTCATGTGGTAGTTTGTTTTCTGAATGTATTATAATAATTTATTTAGCTAATAGTCCATTGTTGGACATTTAGGCTGTTTCCTGATTTTCACTGTTATTAATAACAATGACTGTTCTTAGATGTCTTCCTCTCCTAGAAAACACATTTAGTAGAACCATCCTGGAGATACAGGATCCTGTCAGAGGAGTGACTCCCTGGAGGACTTGACTAGCAGTTAGGAAAGATGGCAGTCATCCTTCAAACAGCAGCCTGCAGAGGGCAGTAAAGCTTGCCTCCTTATAGGCCCTGTCCTGGCAGCCCTGGCATTCCTGGGTGTTGGAAGAAATTGGTTTCTGTTTTGTTTTTTAGAAAGAAAGCATACATGGTAGTTTATGGTCTTATTAGGTAATTCACTGTAGTTTTATCTTTTCTGGACAGAATTCAGACTGATGTTTTGATCTTCTGTATCTTATGAAATGTAATTATTGAATGCTTTTATCTTTTATTAAAAGTTACAAAAATAATACGTTTATTATAAAATAGTCAAACAATGCAGAAGTATACACTGTCACTCCCGATAAACTTAATGATCAAAATATGCCATGGCTGATATCAATTCTGCAAAAATTTTGGAAGGATGTAACAAATTGTCTTAAGACAAATTGCCAAATATCTTATATAATGTTCCACTCACAACAAAACGCATTTATTTGATATATTTATTTAGTTCCTCTGTGTGAAGCAGTGGTTGGTATCCAACGTGGATGCTGCACAATTAGCCTCACCCTGGAAGCTTTTTAAGAAATATTGATTTCTGGGCCCCACTTTTCAGAAATTCTGATGAATTAGTCTGGGATGGGGCCTTGGCATTGGTACTTTCTTTTTTATACAGCTACCAGGTGATTTGCAGGTGGGTTTGAGGACCACAGATAGTGCTCAGCTATAGCCTAACGTTAGAAAGATTTTAGAAAAGTTAATACTATGATTTACAGTTACATCGTCATATTTTATAATTGCTGATATTTTAGCACTCTCTGTTTTTAGTACAGGTACTTGAGAACTTTAAGTGAACTAGGTTTGTTAAAAAAGGTGTCATGATGGAAGTAATGCAAGCAAAATGATTATTTTTGAAAGAAACAGTGACATGACAGGACCTGATTAAACAGGAAGCATGGCACTGTAATTCAAGCACAGAATCAGGAGCTTTACTGCTCTGATTCAAATCCCAAATCCACCTACTCCTTTCTGAAATATTTTTGGATATGAAAAAATACTGTGGGTATTAAACTTAGGTTATTTTTAGTTCTTATTCTGCCATTGAAATAGAAACTTTTTTTGAATTGCCATCTCATTTGTTTTACTCTGATAGTATACCTACATTTCTGTTTTTAAAATGAATAACCAACTTTATTTTACTACTGTAATTTTCATTTTATCATTGGTTATGACCCCACAATACCAAAAACCTTAAACCTAAGATGGCTTGAGTATTAACAAAACTCAAACGAAACTAATTTCTTTTAAGTAATCTACTCCTGATTAAGTCATCTGAATTATATGTTTAATTAACCTATTATTTTTTAATTAATCTGTTAAACTGTACAAATAAAAATACTGGTATAAAGAGTTTTTCTTTTGTCAGCCATCTTAAAGAATTGAATGTGATATGTAACTTTAGAGAAACCAGGTTGTTTAAAAAATATATATATATTACATCTTTTAGAATTTAAACATCAAAATGAGTGCTTTCCATTAAAATAGTTCCTTTGGGAGATTATCTAAAATTATTTAATGATGTTGCTGATGTTATTGTATTTGAAATGCTATTGATTTTTTTTGAAGGGACTGTCTTACCTAGGCAGTTTAGCAAATAGTACCTGTTGTGTGGTTAATTTAACTGTACTGGATTTTGATTAAAACTTGCTTAAAAACTTGCTATTTTAAGTGATTGTTGGGGCCAAGGAGTGCCAGGTGGAGAGTGCAGATGAAGTGATGAGTCTCCTGGAGATGGGGAATGCAGCCAGGCATACAGGTACCACCCAAGTGAACGAGCACTCCAGTAGATCACATGCAATTTTTACTATCAGCATTTGTCAAGTGGAGAAAAATGTAGAGGCGGCTGAAGATGGATCGTGCTATTCCCATCGGCATATTGTCTCAAAGTTCCACTTTGTGGATTTGGCTGGATCAGAAAGAGTAACCAAAACGGGGAATACTGGTGAACGGTTCAAAGAATCCATTCAAATCAACAGTGGGCTGCTGGCTTTAGGAAACGTAATAAGCGCTCTTGGGGACCCACGCAGGAAGAGTTCACATATTCCATATAGGGATGCCAAAATTACCCGGCTTCTGAAAGATTCTCTGGGAGGCAGTGCCAAGACTGTCATGATCACTTGTGTCAGCCCATCCTCCTTGGATTTTGATGAGTCCTTAAATTCTCTCAAATATGCCAACAGAGCACGCAACATTAGAAACAAACCCACCTTAAACTTCAGCCCTGAGTCAGACCGTATGGACGAAATGGAATTTGAGATTAAGTTGCTTCGAGAAGCTTTGCAAAGCCAGCAGGCTAGTATCAGCCAAACCAGCCTGATCCATCGAGAGGAGACTCCTGATAAAAATAGGATCCATTCTCTTGAGGAGCAAGTAGCTCAGCTACAAGGAGAATGTCTGGGTTACCAAAATTGTATAGAGGAAGCCTTTACGTTCCTGGTGGACTTAAAAGATGCTGTGAGACTAAACCAAAAGCAGCAACACAAACTACAGGAGTGGTTTAACATGACTCAGGATGTCAGGAAGGCGATTCTCACCTCCTTCAGAGGAAACCAAGGCAGTGGAAACCTGGGAGAGGAACCACAGCATATTACAGTTCTCCAGCTGAAACGAGAGCTTAAGAAATGCCAGGTACTTAGACACCCCTTTCATAAGTTAACTTGCTTAAGGACTGAATTTATGTGGGCAAGTGTCATTTTGGAATTTCAGAAGCTTTTTTTTAAAAGGATGATATGTAAAATCTCGTTTGCCTTTACTCTGCTTCTCTCTCCCTTCTCTTTCCTATTGCTTTCTCCTCATAATTTATACCTTTCTTGGCTCCTCCTCCTTTCTCCTTTAGTTAAAATGTATTTAATTTGTTATATTTATTAAACAGAATTTTGTGGATCCTGTCAGAGGATGAAAAGAAACACAATTTCAGAAACAAAATTAAGTTATACTTTAATGAGTTTTTATCCTTCTATGGGTCAGTGGTTCTTGAAAGAAAAAAATACTTCATCCCTTGAGTTTAGAGTATTGATTTTTTAAAAAAACAAACAAATCATATATTTGATAATATTTAAGGAATGTAGATATGTACATGTGTATGTATTGCATATATGTATATTGAGTTCAGAATTACATTTCCCCACTTTTCATTCAAAAGACATTCATTGAGTGAAGATTATGTGTCACGGAAGAAATAGTGGAGAACAAGACATACCTAGTTCTGCTTATGTGGAGTTTGCAATGTGGTGGGCAAATGGGTGTTCTGCCTGGTTTTTAAAATAGGAAAACATAGTTAAAAAAAGAAAAATCATTAAAAAATAGCTGCCTAGTTAGAAATCTTTCCTCAATACCTTTTTATATGTATTAGAAAGAAGCCAGTTGTATTATTCTCTGTTACAGCAGTTCTCGAACTTTTTATTCACAAAGTTTCTTTACATTCTTAAAATTGAGGTCCCCAGTTGTATCTATTGATATTTACCATATTAGAATTAAAGCAAAAAATATAAACTATTTATTAATTTATTCAAAACTAACATAATAACCTGATTATATGTTAATATAAAAAACAGTCTGTCATGAAAAAAAATTTTCCACAACAAAAAAATTTAATAAAAGTGGAATTGTTTTACATTTTTGCAAATGTCTTTTAATGTCTGGCTTGATATAAGACAGGTGGATTTTCTTATCTGCTTCAGCGCTCAATTTGTTGCAATATGTTGAAGTATCTGAAAAAAATCCAGCCTCATAGATTTGTAGTTGGAAGGGAAGAATATTTTAATGACTTTCAGATAATTGTGAATATTCTTCCTTGACATTACACCAAAACTCAACAAGTAGAAATTTCCTAAAGGTTACTTGCAATGTGGGCTTTGAAACTATTTTGTTACATTAAGATCTATGCATTAAAATACACTGGTCTCTGTCTTGTACTTTGAATGGATCTTTTATCTACACATGATTTTGAATCATCATGCTTTGGTAATTAGGGAAATATTTGTTTACTAAATTATGGAGATGTTCCAAATGTTGACACATTTCATTATACAATATAAAAAATTCATTTTCGTTAATATCACCACTGATCTCAGCAAAGTCTTTTAGGTATGAAGTCTGAAGCTGTCATGCCCTCAGTAGTAGAAATGTTTTCCAAAATTCCAAAATTTTTGCATGAAACTTGAATTTTATCCTTTGCAATGAATACCTATTGTTAGTTGTTTTCCTTGAAATGACTGTTCTCGTTTTCGAGAAAATGTCTCCCACATACCCAAGTATGAATAACCATATTTGTCAGTCATTCTTTAGAGTAAAAATAGTGCCCTATGAAAAAAATGGCTAGTTCAGCTTGCAGCTCAAACAATTGCACAAGATATTTTTTCTCACAGACAACTATTGCTCTTCAGTATACAGCAGAACTACTTTATGCATACCTCCCATTTTCTCATGTAGAATACTAAAAAGCAAAAATGTACTCAAGGGTTGAGATTTAATAAAATAATTTTTATTGCTTTATCAAGATATTCTTAAGTAAAACTGGCATTTGTTTGTTTTTAATGTGAGTGCACAGCAGTGAAGAATACAGTGACTACTAGTAGTTTGGTGACACTTCATTTGTGCTGAAAACCAGCAGTTTTACCCACCATTGCTTTCGCACCATTGGTGCAAATGTCAACCTAGTGAAAAAGGCAAATATCATCTTAGTATTATTAGGAAAATAGTTTTGACCTCAAGGACACCCTGAGAGAGGATCTAAGGGACATGCTGAAAGGGTCTCTGCTGAGCACACTATGCTGAGCACACTGTGAGAACTCTGGCTCTACTACAGAGCTTTTGATATTTAACTATACGCATTTAAAGTTAATACTTTCTAAATCATGGATTTTTTTTTTTAAAGGCTGTAACTCTGTCCTGCCTTCTTCCTAGTTAGAGCAGGCCTGGCCCTTCCTCACTGGTACAAGAAACTGGCGTAGGGGTTACTGGAAGCTTGAACTTTGGGACACATATAGGAGTTGGCGACAGGAAGCGCTTTTCCTTCATGCTTCTAAGTGGCTGAAATTTGAAACCCACAAAACCCACTCCTTGGGGGTGGGGTGGGTAGTAACTTTTTCTGTGCATCTGTGGGAAACTCTAAATTTAAATTTGCTCTAGATTATGATTTCCCAAAGATATTAGCAGTCATGATGAGAAGGGGTACCGTGATCAGATTATTTGGGGCAATGCTAGATTGCAAAAAGCAAACAGGTTTCCTAAGGCCAAGACTTCTCAGAACTTTAAAAGTGCTAATGTATATTATGAATCTCAAAGTGAGAGACATAATATTCAGTGTTTCCCAATTTAAAAAATGGATTCCCTTTTTTTGATTTGCTGTCTTGCAGGACTAGTAATCTTTGGATACCATGAAACAGCAAATAAAGAAATGATTGGTGTCATTTCTCACCCTGTATGTCTCTTTAAAAAATTGTTTTAAACTTCCTTTTCTGTTCTTTCTTTTTCCTGTGAGAAACAGAATAACATCGTAGTTAAGAATACGGTTACCAAACTCCCAAGGTTTGAATCACGGCTCCTCTGTTTACTAGCTCCTTGACCCGGGGCAAATACTTAACCTCTCTAAGCTTCAGTTTCCCCATCTGTAAAATGGAAACAATAATAATAACCACTTTGTAGGGTTGTTGTGAAGGTTGTTAAAGCCTTACTTCCCATAAAACGATGAGAACGATGCCTGGCCTGTAGTAAGGCTCAATAAATCTTAGCTTATTTTTATCTCCTCTCATTTATTTTTCACCCGCCTGTGCCTGTGGACTCGGTGGTTGTATGGGGGTCCACATGTCAGGGCTTACCATGAAGGCAGCTTGATAAACTCATCTGCTTGAGGAGACAGCGGTCTGTGCGGGGAGAGGCACCTCCCCTGCTCAGCCCTGCTTCTTTGAGCCTATTAGGCAAGCAGGTAAATACTTTTTAAAACAATTCCTAGTCAAGAGGAGATCATGGGCCATGTCACAGGTAGAATAGTAGCTGGATTGTTGTTAGGGAAGTAAGTGTCGTTTTGAAGTTACCATCTTCTCCTTTTTAGATGTTGTCAGATGGTGTTGTAACCTTGATTTTCACCTTTGGTCAATTATTGGAACACTCCATCTCCTCTTAAATACCTCTTAAGGAACTTTGTTGCTTTTTTATTCCAGATTTTGAGCACAGGAACAGTATGTGAATGTGAATATACTCAACAGTTAAACACTCTTTTAAATAAATAATAAACAATAAAAATGTAGTTTATAAAGCATATGTAAAAATATTTAAATATGCAGTACTAGGAGAGCAATTACATTTTAAGCTTCTCAAATGGACAATTAATTGCCCATAGAAGAGCATATTAACTAATGAGAATTACAGTTATATCTTATTTTAAAAAGAGAAAGGTCACATAGCTCATATAAACATATAGGGTTATAAGGACCATCAGGGTCATGCGTCCTCTCCTCATTTGGTCATTTGAGGATCCCAAGCAGAGAACAGAAGAGACTTGCCCAAAGCCCCAAGGTGGCAAAATCAAGGCTGGCCTCAGTCCATGGGTTCCCAGTGCAGGGGCCCATCCCCTGCATGCCACTGCCCTAGGAGTCACACACATACTCCATTTTTTCTGTGTGTGAGGAAGATCAGCCCGGAGCTAACATCCATGCCAATCCTCCTCTTTTTGCTGAGGAAGACCTGCTCTGAGCTAACATCTATTGCCAATCTTCCTCCTTTTTTTTTCCTTTTTCTCCCCAAAGCCCCAGTAGATAGTTGTATGTCATAGTTGCACATCCTGCTAGTTGCTGTATGTGGGACGCCACCTCAGCATGGCCAGACAAGCGGTGTGTCAGTGCGTGCCTGGATCCGAACCCCGGGCCGCCAGCAGCAGAGCGCGCGTACTTAACCGCTAAGCCACAGGGCGGGCCCCCACATACTCCATTTTTGTGAATTAAATCTTATTTTTAAAGTGAGCATTGTTTTTGTAAATCACCTACTAGTTCTGTCTTTTCTTCTGGCTTAGTGGATAGAGTATAGGCTTTGGATCCAGTTGGGCCCTGGGGCTGACTGTCAGGAGTTTGGTTTATCCACCGTGTCATCTTGGGAAGAGGTTTTAATCTCACTGAGCTTTAGTTTCTTCATGAAAAAGGAATCATGTCTATTCAGTGAGATATTTTTAAAATCCCAAGTCACTGTCTAGCGTAAAGTAGATCCTTGACAAATGTTAATTTTCTTTTTGTTTATTTAATTTAAAAATTATTTTAAAAGTATTTGCATAGCCCAAGTTTATTTGAAAACACGTATAATTTACTAGAAACTAAGAAAACTGTTTAACCACATTTTCATACATCTTCAAAATGTATCTCTTCATGGTGAAAGTGTACAAAATTAGCATTATGTTCTTTATTTAAACATCCAAATGCATTCTTGTACTCTAAGGTCAGTTTGGAAAATGTGACCTCTTTGATTTTGGAAAATGTGACCTCTTTGATTTTTAAAAACCCATATTAAAATCTCATGGCAGTTCTAGCAAACTTGTAAAAATCTTATTGAATGTACTCTAGAACCTGAATAACTGGATTTCATTTTAAAATGCAGGAAATAAAAATCAGGAAAATCTTCCTATCTTTATGGTAATTAATTCTTATTTTACAGCAATGATAAGTCCTCTCAACTGTTTCTGCCTTTTTTTATAAAGAAACAAAAAAAAAAGTTGAAAATGAATAGGATAAGAAAAATTTTGAGACACATCCTCAAGCTGTCATGAAATCACTGTTTGCGTGGTATTATGTGGGCTCTCCGGGGTGTTTTCCATGGTGACTCTCCTGTGCTTTCTCTCCCTCCTCCCAGTGTGCTCTCGCTGCTGATGAAGTAGTATTTAATCAGAAGGAGCTGGAGGTGAAGGAACTAAAGAATCAGGTGCAAACGATGGTACAGGAAAACAAAAGACATGTTGTATCTTTGAAAGAAGCACAAAAAGTGAACATATTGCAGGTAGAGTTTTTTAATGTATTTAGCTCTGTAGATTTAATTGAAATAGTACCTAACTAAACAGAATAGCATTTTAATTGGTAAATGGGAATGTTTATAAAAATAGGGTTAATTAAAGAGTTCTGAACACAAGCACCTAAAATTTTGAGTTATTATAGTTTTTCCCTTAAGTCAGTATAAAGAGAAAACGTTATTGTTAGCCTGACTTATATTTCACAAGTATAAAGATAATACCTAGGAACTTAATTTGCAGATCATCTTATGATTATCTTTTCTCTATGCTTTCTTTCCCCTTCTGTTGTTTGCCAAGGTAGTAGGCAATGTGATATTGTTAAGAGTTGGAAGGTAAACACATAATTTAAACTTTTTAATTTATTACTTTATCTTTTGTTACTCTATCAGTAATTTGCTCTTTAACTTTGGTTAAATCTTTCAAATTCTGTACCTTAGCTTTCCTGTTATTAACATGACTATGCGTACAGTGTAACATAGTATGTCCCTAAATATTATACTCCCTGGCTATGAAAGCCCCTCACCCCTCAAAACAGTTAATTTCATTTAAAGCCTTTAGCTTCCTGTCAGTGAGTAACTAATGCCCTGAGAAGTAATCTGATCCAGCACAAATTGCATTTTGATTTTCACATTATTTTATTTTTGTTTTCTTTTTATTTTTTTTATTTTTTTTTCAAGATTTTATTTATTTTATTTTTCCCCCCAAAGCCCCAGTAGATAGTTGTATGTCATAGCTGCACATCCTTCTAGTTGCTGTATGCGGGACTCGGCCTCAGGATGAACGGAGAAGTGGTGCCTCGATGCGCACCCGGGATCCGAACCCGGGCCACCAGCATCGCAGCGCGCGCACTTAACCACCAAGCCACAGGGCCGGCCCTTGTTTTCTTTTTTAACCTTTCTAATTCCGTAATAATTTTAACATATAAAACATATACAAAACAAAATGTATTGTTCAGTGATTTCTCACAAAGAGAATGGCTGGGTAACCACCACAAGGTCAAGAAATAGCAAACTGCCAGCCCCTTGGAAGTCCTTAGTCCCTCCTGCTCAGAGAGACCCGGTCTCCTTACTTTCATGTATCATTTCCTTGCTTTGCTTTCTGGTTTTACTGATGTATCCCTGAACACTACAGTTTAGTTTTTGGAATTTTTATAAGTTTCATCAGTATATATTCTTCAGTATCTGGTTGCTTTTATTGAACATTTTGTTTGTTCTGATTCACCCATGTTGTTGTGTGTAACTAGCTTGTTTAGTTTTATAACTATATAGGTTTTCATTGTATGAATATACCACAATTTATTTCTCTGTTCTACTGTTGATGGACATTTTTTTTTTCTGTGAATTTTCTTATACATGTCTCTTGGTGCACACACATGCACATACACACATTTCTTTCAGATTTGTGCCTAGGAGTTGAATTGCTAAGTCATAGGGTAGGTAAATCTTTAACTTTAGTAAATAATACCAAACTCTCTTCTAGTTTATACTCACGCCCGCACTATATAAGCATTCCTGCTGCTCTATATGCTTGCCAATGTTTGTTAGTGTTAATTTTTAAAACTTAGACAATCTGGTAGGTATGTAGTGTTATTTTATTGTGGTTTTAATTTGCATTTCTCTGATGACTAGTGAAGTTGAGCACTTTTTCATGTTTTTTGGCTATTTGGATATCTTCCTTTTTGAAAGGCTTGTTTAAGTCTCTGGCTTATTTTTCCATTGGACTGTGTCTTTTGAATTAATTTGCAGAAGTTTGTTATATATTCTGGATATGAATATGGTTCATATGAATATGGATTTATATGGTTCCAAATATTTTTTTCCCTTTCCGTGGCTTGCTTTTTACTCTCAATGATGTCTTTTGATGAAAAGATGTGTTGTAAATCAAATTCAACTATCTTTTTTGTTGTGGTCAATGATATTTGTGCTCTATTTAATAAGCCTTTCCTTTTCCCACTCCTTTCCTTTGAGGATACTTTCTGTATTATCTTGTAGGAACTTTATTGTTTGGCCTTTCGCATTTAGCTCTACAGTCCTCCTTGAATTGATTTTTGTGTATGGGGTAAAGTAAAGATCAAATTTCATTTTTTTCCGTATAGATATCCATTTGTCCCAGCTAAATTTATTGAAAAGACCATCTTTTTACCACTGTTCTGAGTGCTGTCTTTTTCGTAAGTCATGGTTCCTTTGTGCATGAATCTATTGTCTATTTCTGGGACTTCTGTTCTATCCTATTGTTTTGTCTATCCTTGAGCCAGTATCACATTTCTTTCTTTCTTTTTTTTTTTTTTTTGTGAGGAAGATCAGCCCTGAGCTAACATCCAATGCCAATCCTCCTCTTTTTTGCTGAGGAAGATTGGCCCTGGGCTAACATCTGTGCCCATCGTCCTCTACTTTATATGGGACATTGCCACAGTGTGGCTTGACAAGCGGTGCCTCAGGGCGCGCCAGGATCTCAACATGCAAACCCTGGGCCGCCGCAGTGGAGCGCACGCACTTAGCTGCTGCGCCACTGGGCTGGCCCCTACATTTCTTATTTATGGTAGGTTTATAATAAGTCTAGATATTTGGTAGAAGCAAGGCCTTCTGCTCTGTTCCCCTCCTCCCCAAGAATGTCTTTGTTGTTTCATATAAATTTTAGAATCAGCTTGTCAAGGGCCACAAAAAAAATACTTTTTGTGATTTTGGTTGAGATTGTGTTAAATTTATAAGCCATTTGGAAAAAATCGACATCTTTCGATTATAAGTCTTCTAATCCATAAATGTGATATATTCTTCCATTTACTTAGGTTTCCTTTGGTTTTTCTCAATAATGGTTTTGTGTGTGTGTGTCTGTGTGTAGAAGTATTGCACATCTTTTGTTAGATTCATTCCTAGGTACTTGATTTTTTTGTGTGACTGTAAATGGAATCTTTTTAAAATTCCATTTTCTTAATTGTTTGTTGGTATATGTAACTATTGATTTTTGTATATTGATATCTTATACCCAGCAACCTGACTGAATTCAGTTTTTAATTCTAATATTTTATGTAAAATTATTTTGGATTTTCATTTATAATTGTGTCATCTGCAAATGACAACAGTTTTATTTCTTCCTTTATAATCTGTATACCTTCTATTTCTTTTTCTTACCTTTCTTCTTTGGCTGAGATCTTCAATACAATGTTGAATACAAGTGGTGATAGCAAGTGTTCTTGTCTTATTTCCAATCATAGAGGAAAAGCTTTCAACATTTCACTAAGTGCCATGTTTGCTGTAGGTATTTTTTTATTTATCCTTTATCAAAGCAAGGAAAATTTCTTTGAGAATTTTTATTGTGAATGGTTATTGAATTTTATCAAATGATTTTTCTTTATCATGATTTTTCTCTTTTATTCTGTTAATGTGATAAATTATATTGATTTTTCTAATTTTAAACCTATCTTGTATTCCTGGAATAAACCTTTTTTTTGTCCTGATGTATTGTCTCGGGGGTCCCCAAGACCACCCTCAAGTTGAATGATGCACTAGGAGGATTCAACATATAGTTGTGCTCATGGCTAAGATTTATTACAGTGCAAGAGCAATGGTCAGCAAAGGGAAGAGGCACATAGAGTGAAATCCAGGGGAACCCTGAGCAAGCTTCCAAGAGTTATCGCCCAGTGGAGTTACACAGATGTGCTTAATTCCACCCAGCAATGATTGTTACAACACATGTGAAATGTTGTCTACCAGGGAAACCCAGTAGAGACTCAGTGCCTACAGTTTTTATAGAGGGCTAGTCATGAAGGCACTCTCTGTCCAGCATGTACCAAAATTCCAGACTACCAGACGGAAAGCAGGTGTTCAGCATAAAACCACAATGTCTGCACAAACAGTTTGAGCACAGTGAGCCACTCTTATCAGTTAGGGTGTTGGGAACCCTCTCAGAATCCAGGTTCCCAGACACCAGCCAATGGACAACCTCGTAAGCAGGTCTTTCAAAGGATAGCAGTCAGGTCTGCTATGTTAACTCTTCTACAGATGTCCTTGATTTGGTTTGCTATCATTTTGTTTAGGGTTTTAGCATCTATATTCACATGTGAGATTGACCTGTATTTTCCTTTCTCAAAATATTCTTCTCAGATAATGTAACAAGTTATGTTAGCCTCACAATATAGGTTAGGTAATATTCCCTCTTTTTCTGTACTTTAGAAGAGTGTGTGAAAAATTAGTGTTATTTCTTAAATGTTTGGTTAAATTCACCTATAAAATATTTGGGACTGGAATGTTTCTTTGTGGGAATATTTTGATTATGAATTCAATCGTATTTTCTTTTTGCCCTTGTTTTGATAAAGTTTATTTTTCTAACAATCTGACCACTGCAGCTAAGTTTTCATATTTATTGGCATAAGTTTATAATAGTCTCTTATCTCCTTAGTGTCTTTAGATATATAGTGATATCTCCTTTTTCATTAGATATATAGTGATATCTCCTTTTTCATTCCTGGTCATTTGTGCCTTCTCTCTTTCTTTTCTTGATCAGCTTCACCGGGGGTTTATCAATTTTATTAGTCTCTTCAAAGAGGCAATTCTTGACTTTGTTGATGTTCTCTAGTATATGTTTGTTTACTATTTCATTAATTTCTGCCCTTACCTTTATTATTTAATTTTTTCTGCTTTTTTTTGGGGGGGTGGGGTGGGATCTTATGCTCTCTTTCTAAAGTCTTTAGATGGATGCTTACATCATTGATTTTTAGCCTTTCTTCTTTTATAATATATGCATTTAAAATTATGTATTTCCTCCTAAGCTTATCTTTACCTGCACTCCACATTCAGCTCAAAATATTTCCTATTTTTATTGTGACTTTTTTTCTTTGATTTATGAGTTATATAGTTATTTCATTTCTAACACATGGAGGATTTCTTTTTAATGTTTTTTTCTTTATTTGATGAGGAAGATCAGCCCTGAGCTAACATCTGATGCCAATCCTCTTCTTTTTTGCTGAGGAAGACTGGCCCTGGGCTAACATCCATGCCCATCTTCCTCTACTTTATATGAGACACCGCCACAGCATGGCTTGACATGTGGTGCATCGGTACGTGCCTGGGATCCGAACCTGCGGCCTCCGGGCTGGCCCCTCTTTTTAATTTTTTAGCTTAATTGCATTCTGGTCCATATGATTTCAGTCCTTTGAATGTGTTGAAACTTGCTTTATGGGTCAGCATAAGACCAATTTTTGTAGATATTACAGATGGGCTTGAAAAGAATGTGTATTCTGCATTCCTTGGGTGCTGTGAATTCTGTTATTCAAATCTATATTTTTAGTGACTTTTTTGGGTCTTTTTTGTTATATCAGTAATTTAGAGTGATGTTAAAATCTCCCACTATGATTTTGGATTTGTCTTACTTCTCCATGAAGTACTGACAATTTTTGCATTATGTATATTGAAGCTATGTTATTAATTATGTAGAAATGTAGAATTATTACATCATACTGGTGAATTGACCTTTTTATCATTTTTTACCTTTTTTAAATCTCCTCTAATGGTTTTAGCTTTAAAGTCTACTTTGATATTAATATAGCTATGCCAGCTTTCTTTTGATTAATATTTACATGATGTCTCTTTTTCCATCTTATTTTTAAAGATTTTATTTATTTATTTTTTCCCCCAAAGCCCCAGTAGATAGTCGTATGTCATAGCTGCACATCCTTCTAGTTGCTGTATGTGGGACTCAGCCTCAGTATGGCTGGAGAAGTGGTGCCTCGGTGCGCGCCCGGGATCCGAACCCGGGCCGCCAGCATCGGAGCACACGCAGTTAACCACCAAGCCACGGGGCCGGCCCTCCATCTTATTTTTAATCTTTCTGTCTATTTTAATTGTGTTTCTTGTAAGCAGCAGGTTAGATAACTTCACAGTCCTCTCCAACAGTCTTTATCTTTTAATTGGATTACTTTGTTATTATGAATTATGATTATAAATTTAACATAATTACTATTATATTTCAGTTACAATCCCACCATTGTGCTTTTTTACTTATCCTACCTGCTCCATATTCCTTTTTCTCTCCTTTCTTACCTTCTTTTGGACTAATTGTGTATTTTTCATTTTTCTCTTTTTACTTCATTAGCTTAGAAGTTGTAGTTTTGCTCTTTTTAGTGGCTATTTTAGGAAGTACACTGTGCACCCTTTTAATAAAGTCTAATATTAATTGGTATTTTTACCCCTTTCCCAGACAATATAAGGTCTCCATTTAACACCCCCCTTCAACTTATATACCATTGGTTTTGTGTATTTTAATTATCTGAATACATGACTTTTTAATAAAGTTGAATTTTTATAGCTCAGCATTAACACAGTGAAACTTTAGGGTTTGTTTTTTTTCCTATTTGAACATTGTAGTACATGTGAGGGTTAAGATGAATGACAATTTCTTGTGTCCATAATTTTGTGGTTGTAAAACAAAGATTGATGTTAGGAGCTTTCCAGATTAGATATACTTCAAAAATTTTCTTTAGAGGATACTTAAAAAGCTAAACCCCATACACACACACATACACACTCTCACACTCACATATGCGCGCGCACACACACACACACACACACACACACACACTCTCACTCCTGATATACAATTTGTTCTGCCTTTGATTTCCAAGTTCTCCTTTCTCCCAGGACTATCAGTTGCCTATCTTCCGTCTCTTTGTGTTTTTGGCTTTCTTTTCACTGAGTAAAGGCTTTCGCTTCATTGCATCTATTACACTTTGTCTCCTTGCTGCTGCCTCTGTATTTGCAGTTCATTCTCCACTTTTCAACTTTCTTGTCTCTTGTTACTTTTTGGATTTCACTCAGAAAGTCCAAACTTTTGTAAAGATCAGCTATTCAGAGTGCTTCAGTTTGGCAAACTAACCAGTCAGTGTGTGGGGCATGTTCTTTGGGTATTTAACTCTTTAGGCTGTGTTTATTGCTGCTTACTATTCAAAGTTTTTACCACTCAGAACAATCCTAGCTACTTGTGAACAGCAGAAGGCTAGTCTTTGGATAAATGAGGTTTTACTGTATTGTTAAGGTAGTTGTGATTTTGGTCAATGCACAATTTATTTTTAATCATTATCTACACATGTACTGAGCTTCTTTATTTTTAAAATTCTCATCTCTCTTCCATAAAGAATGAAAAAATAATAGAGCAACAACTTCTTGTGGATCAACTGAGTGAAGAACTAACAAAACTTAACCTATCAATGACTTCTTCAGCTAAGGAAACTTGTGGAGATGGGCCAGATGCCAGGATACCTGAAGAGAGACCATATACTGCACCATTTGATACTCGTTTGGGGCATTATATTTATATCCCAGCAAGATCAAATTCAAGGAAGGTAAAGTCTAAACATTAATCTCTTTCTTATTTTGAGATTTTTAAAATACTATAGATAATATAATATCATAGTATGTACAGTCTCAGCAGGATTTTTTCTGTTTGGTTTCATGGACTTTTGTGTATACTCTTTCTTTTAATTAGGTTTCTTTTTAATAAAAAATTCATAAATAGAAGAATGTATAGTTATATTTAGAAGGTATAGTTGAAGATAATGTCTACATTCATCAGGGAGAAAAAGCTATTCTCTGCCATCATATTTTCTGACATGACTAAATCTGATATCTTAATGAATTTTTTTCTTTCTTTAACCATACCAAGTTGAGATGAGGTGGAGAGTATTTATTTCAACTTATTTGGTCTGTGTTATTATTTTAAAAATGATATTTATGTATTATTCAGTCTTGCCAAGCTGACATAATCAAGACTGTATAAAGATCAGTATGAAGTTTTGTTTTAATTTTTATTTATTGATAAATATGTGTGTGGGTGGTAAATATATGCACACAGATATCTCTTGAAAAATCATGAAGGAATCTCTACTATGGAAAAGACTAATTAGCATATTTATGAATTTTTGTTTCTATTTATTAATTTTATGAAGAGAAACGATTGGTTTGAGATCTTTGTGATAGTTACAGTCAAAGGGATAAGAAATTTGAGAGACATCCTAGACTTTGCAGACAGGCAGGCTTGCGTGTGAACACCAGTTCTATTGTATAGGCCTGGATGTGTGACTAAACCTGTGTGAGCCCCGGGTTCCTTATCTGTCAGAATAGGGGAAACATGCGGGTGTGTAGAGCATTTACATGAGATGCTGACTCTAAAGTGCTCGGCACACTGCGTCCTCAACACATGTCCATGGGGTGCCTCTACCAAGTTCCAGGCTCAGCACCTCAGAGTGAGTAAGACAGAAGCTGTCCTTACCTGTATGGTTTTCAATTTTGAGTGGGTTTTAAAATTTAAATCATCGTTATTATTAATTTCAGCTTTACTTTGTAGAGTTACTGACATTTTCTTTAGGTAGTTGAGTACTTCGTAAATTTTCATAGGACATTTGGGAAGAAACATAAATTCTTTGCAGGATTCAAATTTAGTATCTATTCAACTTAATAATTATGTTATATATCAAGTCTTCTATATTTAAGTTTTTTTTTTTTAACTATTGGCTAGTAATGTGAAAGAATTTCCTATTTCTGTCCATTCTTTTATTTTTTAAAAATAACATTTTTTCCTGATTACAAAAGTTATACATATATATTCTCTCACTCTTCGTCTCTGTTTCTTTCTCTTTTTTTACTAGACACTCACACACACACATTCTCTGAGGAGATAGAGCTCCATGGGCTCTTGAGAAGAGTTAGACCCCTTTGTTCTTATCTCTAGTTGTTTGATTAGACCTGAAGCACACGTGACTAAATAAGTCTTCCACAGTTATTGTTCCAAATTAGCAAATTCTTAGTTTTGTTTTGTTCTTAAAATTTTCCTTCTACCCCAAAAGAACCCTTCTAGCCACTAAAAAAAGGGAAAAAGAAGATGCAAAGGTCATATGATCAGCAGTTTGGAGAGTTCTCTTGTTTCTACTGTGTGTCCAGGAATCCTGGCCACCTGTCTTGTTTGGCCTGGTTACTCTAGCAGACTTGAAAAGGCAGACTTGCCTGGGAAGACACAGAGCATGGCAAGCCATGTTCAAGTCCTGTTTGCTGCTCCATTGTGCTAAGAGTGAGGGGAAAGTTCATACTGAATACCAAAACTAGCTAAATTAAGCCAAAGAGGACATCTGAAATACCATTTCATTTTCTCCTGGATTTCTGTCTCCTTGGCAGAAATCTAGCTAAGATTTTCCAGCTCTAATATTTTCTTTTAGACTTTAGCTCTACTATTTTCTTGAAGTTAAAATAGTCTGACAAGAGAAATATTTCCTCAACTTAAAATACTTTCAAAGGAAAAGGGGGAAAATGACTTAATCAGGAAAAACTTAATTTCAGAAAGAGTTTGATTTTATTTCTTATATGCTTGTTTATACATATTAGGGGGAAAGAGTGAAAAGATCTTATTTATTTTAAAAGTGTATTATTTATGTTATATTTATACATACACTTTCATTACTAGCTTTTCTATATATATCATGAACATTTCACAGTCATTAAATATCCTTCTCTAATACATCATTTTTAATGGCTGAATAATATTTATCATAAGGGCATGCCATTGTGTATTTTCTGTTGTACACTTGTTTTCGACTATCATTTAATCTGAAAAATTAAACACCAAAATGGAATTGTAGAACATATGCACTTATGCAGAAATCCTAAAGAAATTGCCCCTCACAACTAAATAGTATACAGGTAAATGAGAGGAAAAGTATTAATATTATTTACCAAATTAATAGGAAAAAAGAGAAAATTCATTTGTCTCAATAGATATCAAAAACTCATCTGATAAAATGCAAAATTGAATCTTAGTTTTAAACTTAAAAAATCTAACAGGTTTCTGCTTTCTTTTTTTTTTTTTAAATTTTTTATTGCAGTAACATTGGTTTATAACATTGTATAAATTTGAGGTGTACATCATTATACTTCTCTTTCTGCATAGATTACATCATGTTCACCACCCAAATACTAATTACAACCCGTCACCACACACATGTGCAAATTATCCCTTTTGTCCTCCTCCCTTCCCCTCTGGTAACTACCAATCCAATCTCTGTCTCTATGTGTTTTTTTATTGTTGTTATTATCTACTACTTAACGAAGGAAATCATATGGTATTGGACCTTCTCCCTCTGACTTATTTCACTTTGCATAATACCCTCAGTGTTCATCCATGTTGTCACAAATGGCTGGATTTCATCGTTTCTTATGGCTGAGTAGTATTCCATTGTGTATATATACCACATCTTCTTTATCCCTTCC